CCTTTTGCCTCCAACTGAGTCACAGTAAGATCTCAGGAAATATGAGTGTGTCCTGTTATCAGACTACACTAATTTAGTCCTGCAAATCAAAGACCGATGGTTAATTGAAGGATTACAGTATAATGATGATAAAGTGGCCTATTAACTGTTTACCACCATGTTTTATCTGGTGATGGTTCTGTTTTGATTTGTAACACTGTTGCACACACATAGACCACTTAGCTTGTGGGATTTAGTGCTTGTCACAATGGTGTAAGACGAGTTTACAATTTAATTTTAACAATTGAATAACTAATTAAAATGTTAATAGTAAATAGGGCCCTATGAAATGTGCTGTATTTCCCCCCAAATTCAGTCTGTTTTAATTCTTCTCTATTCTGTTTTTATGATTTAATACATATGAACTTGTGGAGCTATAGTAGTTCATAAATGGCATAGTGTTTCTTTACTTTTAATCATTTAGCAGATGCGTTTAGCTAATGTGAGAGAGAACGAATATTCTAGGACAAACCGCTGTAATCCAGTATTTGTACAGTATTATATAGTGTTTTGAACTCTCTTTATTTGTATTTTTATCACAGGTGTGAGATCCTGGCTGGTCCGTAGAGAGATTAGGAAATGGCACAAAGCTGCATCAGTCATCCAAACCAAATGGAGGCGCTGGAGGGTAAGCATTGTGCTGATTTTTATTTTTATTAATAAAGATGTTGGACAGGACTTGATTTTGTCTATTGGGAATTGATTGGATTGTGAAGGAAAAAAAATGTAAATGCCAATTTAACAATTATTTTTATTATTTATTAATCTTTTAAAATGTAATCAAATGAAAATGTAACAATTATTTTAATTTTTTGGCAAACAAAGTACTGCAGAACAGAGGTTTTAAATTAAAACATGGATGATAAATAGTGCGATATTCCTTAAAACATTTTTATGAATTGTATGATTTATTATTATTATTATTATTACTTTGAGAAGTACATTATACTATATAATAGTAATTTCTCCAAGTTTTTTTTTTGGGCGATTTGTAATGAGGAGCCTTGAGTGCCACACTGTTTAAAATGAAAACATGGATGAAAAATGAAAAAAAAACTACTATTATTATTGTTGTTATTACTGTACAATATGAAAATATTTCTGTGAAAATTTCCTCAACTGAATTTTTTCTTTATATAGCTAATTTTTCCCTTCATGACAACTGTGAGGGGAGTGATTTTTTTTTTATAACTCATCCATTTAAATTATATTAAGCTTTAAAGTTCTGCATAATTAAGGGCGTGGCCACTTGAGTGACAGGTGGATTGCCGCTGCTGTCACCACCGTCGAGCTAGGTGGGCGTGGTTTCAGCAACCAGCTCCCGCCTCTTTGCCCATTTTCGATTATCCGGGAGTGACGCGTTGCCAAGATGGCGACTGCCGGCTCCACCTACTTTAGGCTTCAAAAACGCTCTTCGGAAACCTACGGATGACGTCACGGACACTATGTCCATGTTTTTAATACAGTCTATGTTCTGAATGCAGTTTCATGCTGACTTTAAGTGTAGATTTAGCTTCAGTTATGTGTGTTTTGTGCCGTGTTCTTATCTTTCTGCATTCCTCCTCGATAGGTGTGGATGGATGCATTAGCTGAGGCAGAGCTGGATGATGCTGAGGATTTCATAGAGAATGAAGCATCATCCGCATTGCCGAAGCTGGACCGTCTGCTGAAGGAGAGAGGCTCTGTGCAGCTCTCCAGCATCCAGGAGCCTGTGATGGTCAGAGGTTGGCCCATCGGTCTGGCCATGACCTCTGCTCCCAGCATCACTGTCTCTCTGACAGCCACGGGTTTCCAGCGGATCATGTCTATGATGGCCTGTCTGAAGATCCCATTCAGAAACGGCGAATACAAAGTAAAGACCAACCAGTTTGACCAGGGTGTGGCGTCTATCAGAGCTCAGCCACGGGTAAGAGACGCTTCAAACATACGGGTTAACTGAGCTTTGTTTAGTTCTGTGTGACCTTGAATGATTCCAGGATAAATACAGCTTACACATGTCTATGACATGCTGTCAATTATTTTTGTATTATTTATGTACTATTGTATTTATTAATATTTTGAATTAGGTTTTATTTTTCTATTTTAGTTTTCATTTTAATTTTCAAGTTTAAGTCATTTTGTTATGCGCTTTTGTCATTTATAATTAAATTGTTTTTAATATAAAAAATTCTATTTAGCTTTATTTTTGTGTTTTAGTTTTAGAAATTTTAGCTCTTCAATTTAAACGTATTAATTTCATTTAGTTGCCAAGGTAACATTTCTTAGTTTTAAGTTTGTCGTTCATCTAATATTTATATTTTATTTTAGCTTTATTACTTAAAATATTTTAAATAGATCTTTACTCTGAGGTAGATAAAGTTGTTACATTTTAATGTGGATTTTTTCTTGGTGAATAAGTGCAAGGGACATGTATTATGAAATTTTGTAAACAGTAATATTTATATACTATTGTATTTCATTTTATTTTTGGTAATTTTATAATGCGCTTTTGTAATTTTTGTAATTTATTAGATTTTTTTATTTTATCTTTATTTTTAGCTTTACTACTTTATGAATAGTTATTTTAGTGTTGATATACTCTATAGTTTTTGTTAATATTTTGAATTAGATTTTTCTTTTAATTTTCACTTTTATGTTTTCAGTTTATTTTTGGTTAAAGTTTTAGTAATTGTCTTTTATGTTTTTGTCATTTTTATTAGTTTTTAAATATATCTGTACATTTTTTTAATTCATTTTAATTTGTTTACTTTGTTATTTTAGTACTTCAAGTTTTTATTTCAGCTAGTTTCCAGGGCAGTACAGTACAAAATTAAAGATATAATAAAATACAAAATAAAAACAAAGTACAAAAAGTATGTAATAATGTGTCAAATAAACATTAACAAAAAGGTTTATGGTTTTAGTAAACTATAATGACCCTGACACATTTTGATGTGAGATTATTGTATCTTTTTTAAAATATTGCTTTAACTGTTATGTAACTTATGTTTTTGACAGGGCTCCATTAAGGTGCATCTTCAGAGATCTCCGCTGCTGTACGCTGACATGCACCCAGTGCACAAGACAGACGTGGTGACCGGATTCAACCAGATCCTGCTGGAGAGGCCCTGAGATCTCATGCTGTTAAAAGCTTTCGTGCAATCAGTGCACCTTTGAAATACACTACATTAAGTGATATTAAATATTTAGCTGCCTTATTGTTAGTGCAATTCAGTGTTTAGTTGTATTTACTCTCTCAGGTTTCAGTGTGACGCACAAGTGCCTTTAATTCTGCTGTGCGTTCAATCAGTAAACACTTGACTTTTTTAGCTTTATACAACAAAGCTTCCATTTTATACTAGCATGACCTGTCATGATTAAAATCGTGTTTCTTGCGCAGCTTGAAAATGATATTTGTAGATAAGATTTTAGTTTTTGGTCTGAATTTATTCATATTATGCTGCTAAATATACCAAATAGTGTATTTTCAAAACCTTGCATTTGATTTCCATTAATATCAGTGTACAAACGTATAAAATAACAGGCTTTAAAACATTGTGATGCTATAATGATATTAGTAAGTTATAATGATAGTTGAGGGAGAGTATAGTATTCATAAAGACTATATTAGTACAAGTTTTGTACACTTTTCTTGTCATCTTTTTTTAAATTGTATTCATTGCACAATGTAAGACATGAAACACTACATGGTAAATACTGGGAAAATCCATGGTTTCTGCATTGCTTACTTACCAAAGCAAACTGAATTAAAATACTGTTTGCATATGTATCTCTAGTTCTTCATTTTGTCAGAATACTTTTTGCTGTTTTAGACTGAAATTGATTTTTAAACACCAACTGCTCAAAAGCACAACACAACATTCCTCCGTAAATCATGAGTTTTTGGTTATGAGACACTGAATTGCATGTGCAAACTGTATTTATGACTAAAAATAATCTATATCTCTGTATATTTATACTCTCAGGGCGTTAATCAGCAGGTTTTCTAGTACAACACATAGTACTTCTTTAACAAACCAGTCAGACACTTGTCAAACTTCGATAATGCCAATAAAGATCATTTCAGACTTGTTCTGTTTTGGATTTATTTTTACTCTATCTGTAGTCTGGAAAATTCATTATAAAATGCATGTAATTAATTACTGACTGCTGTATTGAGACACAAAAGCTCAGTAATGTTGAGAAAACATGAATATTCAACAACAATTTTTCAGAATACTAAATGCTACAAAGCTTGACAGCTATTTTATCGTACAGGTTTATTTGTCAGATAGAAGTCTAAAGTCTAAAAGCCTCCGGAAGGTCCATCAATGACAAAACATGTTTCTTAGTATATGTTGTTTAAACCTCTGAAGAACAAGTCGTGCAAATGCTGGAATTACTCCGCAGATAGTCTCTTAAAGGAATAATTCACCCTAAAATGAAAAATTGACTCACCCTCAGGCCATCCAAGATGTAGATGAGTTTGTTTCTTCATCAGATTTGGAGAAATTTAGCTTTCCATCAATGGATGCTCTGCAGTGAATGGGTGCCGTCAGAATGAGAGTCCAAACAGCTGATAAAAACATCACAATAATTCACTCCAGTCCATCAGTTAATGTCTTGTGAAGCCAAAAGCTGCGTGTTTGTAAGAAACAAATGCATCATTAAGAAGTTTTAACTTCAAACCATTGCTTCCAGCTAAAATATGAGTACATAATCCATAATAACGCTTCCTCCAGTGAAAAAGTCCATCATCTATTGTCTCGCACATCAAAATCCACCCACATATTTGTTAGAACTGTTTTGAACTATTCGGTTGTAAACCGTGCTTGATCTGTGCAGATTTCTCTCCTGATTCAGACCAGACCACTTTTTCACTGGACTCTTATTCTGACGGCACCCATTCACTGTAGAAGATACATTGCTGAGCAAGTGATGCAATGCTACATTTCTCCAAATCTGATGAAGAAACAAACTCATCTACATCTTGGATGGCCTGAGGGCGAGTACATTTTTCATTTTGGGGCGAGCTATTCCTTTAAGACATTGTTGGCATTCAAAAGACCTTGGTTTAGTATAGAATTTTACATGATTGCATTAACATTTGTGTAAAAACCTGATGCACTTGTGTTAGGAATCGGTCCATGTGTGACAGTGCGATCCAATCAGAATTCATCATCGTCATTCTCTGCTTCCGTCGGTTCAATCATTTTTAAGCACTGATCAGCGAACTCCACGAACAGCGGCTCCTGCATGGCGTCTTTCGTGGCTTTGGCTTTATCTTCAGCCGAGTCCACGGACATCATTAACCGGCGGAGATGAGGATTCCTCAACAGACCCTTCAATGCCTCTGAATCAGCTGTGTGAAGGAAAACCATCTGTAACTGATCTCATAAAAACAGCGTTAAAGATCATGTGAACGGGGTGTTTATCATTTCATACCCAGCTGCTGAAGTTTGTGTAATGGCACTTTGTCAGTCTGACTGTCTTCATCAAGAACATCCTCGACAGTCCACGGCTGTTCAGCTGAAATCACACACATTTATTGAACTTTATAGAACTTTTTTGTTCAAAATCATCATCAAAAGCAGGCAGAAAAGTTCTCTTGATCGCCCATAAAGCAGCTATTATTGATGATAACTTACTCACCGCTGCTCACTGGTGTTGAGCTGCTGGAGGCTGAATCAGATTCTTTAACTGGATGGCATGAATCTATCAGAGGAAAGAGAAATAATGACTTCAAGAGTTTGGTTTGGACTGATTTTTGACTTTGTGCTCAGGGCAGTCTGGTAGTTTAAGGTACAAAATGACTAATAACAATAACATTTGTATTACTACTACTACTAATAACATATTTATATTAGTAATAATACAATAGAATTGAATGAATACCAATAATAATTAGTATAATACTATTTAATTAAATATAAATACAATAAACAAATAAATTAATATCAGTAAATAATAATAATAAAATATAATGTAATCAGTAAAAATTATTATAATTAAAAATAATAATAAATACTATAAACATTTTATTAAAACATAAATGATATAAGCCAGTAATAATAGTAATATAATAAGAGTGATAAAGTTATACCAATAATAATACATTAAATAATGCAACCAATAAAAAATATTAAATGAATAATAATAATAATGCAACTTTTAAGTAGAAAACAGTTGAACAGTTGTCATGGGTTCGACTCCCAGGAAATGCATGAACTGATTCAGTATAAATATTGAAAGCAATTAAAAGCATGAATGTAAATGTAATCAAAATAACTGTCAATAGAATATTAGCTTTCATAGAGACTTACCATCATCTTTGTGTCTTTTAAAGCAACTCACTGAACAACTAGAAGGGGAAGGAAGGTGCTATTTATTTGATCAGGATTTGTCTCAAAAGCAAAAGTGAGCTGATAAACCTATTTATGGTATAGAGTTGCAGTTATCAGACATGCATGAGTGACTTACTATCTGATTCTGCAGGCTGGACATCTGTATTTAGGAACATGCTCGCTACATACGCCACAAAGCTGCATAACGGATCTAGGAGATCAACAAGCAAACAAACAGAAAAAACGATTTGTATTAACGATCAGCTTGAAGTTACTGAAGCCACGTGTTTATGTTGTTGACAGCGTGCAGGACTTTTATCTCATTTCCGCTTCCGGTGTAGAGTGCTGAGGTCACGGTGTCCTTCCCCACGTGTGTCCGTCAGTGCGATCCGCGTCCAGCAGCTCTGAGCTCAACCGAACTCGCTCGCCGTCATGCTGAAGTCTGTGAGCCGCGCGGTTCAGCTCGCAGCCCGGCTGTCCATCAGCGCGCCTCCCCGCAGCAGAACCTTCAGCAGGTCCCTCTGGAGCCTCAGCAGCAGCGGAGCGGCGTCCGGCTCCAGGCCGAGGCTGCTCACCGCGACACGGGCTCTGCCCTCACTGTCCTGCGGCTGCGGGAGTCTGCACACCGAGGGTAAACGCTGCTCCACACGCACACGAGCCAAAAACTAGCATGGTAAAGCTATGGACACTAACTGAAAAGTACCATGGTAAAGTTGTTTTTATGGTAAAGGTGTGGGCACTAACTATAAAGTACCATGGTAAAGTTGTTTTTATGGTAAAGGTATGGACACTAACTGATAAAAAGTACCATGGTAAAGTTGTTTTAACTCAAAAATACCATGGTAAAGTTGTTTTTATGGTAAAGGTATGGACACTAACTAATAAAAAGTACCATGGTAAAGTTGTTTTAACTCAAAAATACCATGGTAAAGTTGTTTTTATGGTAAAGGTATGGACACTAACTAATAAAAAGTACCATGGTAAAGTTGTTTTAACTCAAAAATACCATGGTAAAGTTGTTTTTATGGTTAAGGTATGGACACTAACTAATAAAAAGTACCATGGTAAAGTAGTTTTTATGGTAAAAGCAGGGCTGGGCGATATAGTAAAAACAATTATCACGATATAATGTTTCATATCATTCGGTATGGATAATTATTGACATTTTTTTAATAACCTTTCTTAAACAATGAGCAGTAGAAAAAGGGTTTAAATTTAACCACTGTATTTTTTATTTACCCAATTTAACTTATTTTTAACTTAGTTTTGTTTTAACAGTCAAACACAAAATATAATTGAAACAAATATCTCCTTTCTTATGTTTTATATGCAGATGAAATAATTTTTTTCACCATTTTTATTATTTTAATGTTTGAATTTGAACAGTAAGCCTCAGTTGTGCAGAACTCCATTGGCCTAAAAAAGGAATTGTAACATTTTCAATAGATTACATTTTAAAAGAGTAATTAAATTGATGTTTTATGCCTTAATTTGGTTACCACCATTTTTGATAATGTATCCTGAAAAATTAACACAGAATTTCTGAAAAAATGAAACATTTCATAGACTTGCCTTTTTATTATTAAAATGTAATTAAAGGAACACTCCACTATTTTTGAAAATAGGCTCATTTTCCAACGCCCCTAGAGTTAAACAGTTGAGTTTTACAGTTTTCGAATCCAATAGTAAAACTGAATCCAGAATAATTCAAACTTTAAAAAAAGAAAAAGGAATAAAAAGTTACTTTTTTGTAAAAGTTTGAATAAATTGTCGTTAAATTGTATCGTTTCAATATTTAATTTAATTAGTTTAATTTGATTACTAAAATCTAATATAACCATTAAATCAGAATCCGGAAAAATTCAAATGGGGGAAAAAGCAATCCAAAAAAATGTAAACGTATTAATTTAATTTCATAGTGCCTTATTGTAAAAATGTCAATAATTTTTTACATTTTATTTAATTGATTAAACATGCCTTTTGATTATTTAAATTTAATTAAGCCATTAAAATGGAATCCAGAAAAAATAAGACACAGAATTTGGGAAAAAATAAAACAGGCCGCTCATAGAGCCCTAAAAATGTAATTTTTGATAATAAATAGTTGTTCAATTGTATAGGTTTCATTATTTCAGCGTTCCTTTAAAATAGTAAAACTGAATCCAGAATAATTCAAACTTTAAAAAAAGAAAAAGGAATAAAAAGTTACTTTTTTGTAAAAGTTTGAATAAATTGTATCGTTTCAATATTTAATTTAATTAGTTTAATTTGATTACTAAAATCTAATATAACCATTAAATCAGAATCCGGAAAAATTCAAATGGGGGAAAAAGCAATCCAAAAAAATGTAAACGTATTAATTTAATTTCATAGTGCCTTATTGTAAAAATGTCAATAACTTTTTACATTTTATTTAATTGATTAAACATGCCTTTTGATTATTTTAATTTAATTAAGCCATTAAAATGGAATCCAGAAAAAATAAGACACAGAATTTGGGAAAAAATAAAACAGGCCGCTCATAGAGCCCTAAAAATGTAATTTTTGATAATAAATAGTTGTTCAATTGTATAGGTTTCATTATTTCAATTAATTAGACTTGCATTTTGATTACTGAAATTAAATTGGAATCCAGAAAAATTTAAATGGGGTAGAAATACAACCGATTTCAGTGAACTCTGACCCCTCTGACTCTCTAGGCCCTGTATGACCATCTGATGGACTTCCTGGCTGACCGCGGCGTTGACAACACGTTTGCGGATGAGCTGACGGAGTTGAGCACGGTGCTGGAGCATCAGGAGTACATCAAGTTCCTGGAAGATCTCAGCACTTTCGTCAAATGCAAATAGATTATCTAGATTTATCGCAAAACGTTGTTATACGTCTGGCTCGTGTGGTCTGACGTGATGACAGGATGAAGGCAGAACAGTTTTGTATTTAATTTTATATCATGTTTTCAAGTTATGTGCACAGCGGTTACAGTTCAGATGTCACCGTAGGGGTTTACGGGTCTTGCAGAGTCGAGAATGTGAAATAAACATTCATGAGAAATAAAACTGAGTGGAAATATTGGGCTGAGTGTCCTGATTTAATTTCAGTATAATAATTGTGTTGCTAAAAGGCAAAAGAAAATGTGGTTGTCCATTATGTACATTTTTTTTTTATGCATCTCAATTTAATGAATCGATTCGACTTCTTGAAAAGTGACACAATGGGACTTTATTAAATTGTCATGAAATAGGCAGGACTTCCTGTTTGACTAAATGATGAAATATGTGGCGTGGTTTGGAAACAGTTATTTTGGTGCGGAAATAACACTTCTGTTGTTATACGTCTGGCTCGTGTGGTCTGACGTGATGACAGGATGAAGGCAGAACAGTTTTGTATTTAATTTTATATCATGTTTTCAAGTTATGTGCACAGCGGTTACAGTTCAGATGTCACCGTAGGGGTTTACGGGTCATGCGGAGTCGAGAATGTGAAATAAACATTCATGAGAAATAAAACTGAGTGGAAATATTGGGCTGAGTGTCCTGATTTAATTTCAGTATAATAATTGTGTTGCTAAAAGGCAAAAGAAAATGTGGTTGTCCATTATGTAAATTTTTTTTTATGCATCTCAATTTAATGAATCGATTCGACTTCTTGAAAAGTGACACAATGGGACTTTATTAAATTGTCATGAAATAGGCAGGACTTCCTGTTTGACTAAATGATGAAATATGTGGCGTGGTTTGGAAACAGTTATTTTGGTGCGGAAATAACACTTCACCGTAGACTTCCCTTGGATGTTTGATCAATTGAAAAAGTAACTAGAAATGTTTAATAAACTTGTTTTATTTTCTTGTATGTGAAACAGACTCAAAAACCTTTTATTTCACCCAAACAAATCAAATGTGCTATATTTTAAATAATACATTTTTTTATGATTGTGTAACACATTTCTTTCCAAAATTCTTATTACTGTAAAGCGAAAATTAAAATAAAATGCAATGAAAAAAATGTTAATATGTCTAGATAGATATTCTCAATGAAGATTACTGATATTTATTTTAATCAAAGTCAAAGTACAACAAATACCACCAAGAGATATCAAATTTGTCACTTGTAAAAAGTATCTCTTAATATTAATGAGAATTTGAAGTGTTTAACGGCAACACTTTCATTAAAATACACTGTCACAATGCAAACGCCATGGTATTGCTAAAATATGCTTATTTCTGGCTTAGAGGTGAAATGACTGATGTGTTCTTGACAAGCATTGTGAGATTTTTTCTAGAACAGCTTATGGATAAATATATGGCTGCGGTGCATTTAAAACGCATGCACTCAATAGCAGGTTCTGATTGTGTAACACATTTCTTTCCAAAATTCTTATTACTGTAAAGCGAAAATTAAAATAAAATGCAATGAAAAAAATGTTAATATGTCTAGATAGATATTCTCAATGAAGATTACTGATATTTATTTTAATCAAAGTCAAAGTACAACAAATACCACCAAGAGATATCAAATTTGTCACTTGTAAAAAGTATCTCTTAATATTAATGAGAATTTGAAGTGTTTAACGGCAACACTTTCATTAAAATACACTGTCACAATGCAAATATATATACACACTGGTTTTTTTTCCCATCTAGTTGCCAAAGGAACAATTCATATTTTTATTCTGTTTAAGTTAAGATGCTAAAATAGCTAAAACTACAATAAAATAGTGACTAAAAATTTGTATCTAGAAAAAGAAGAAAAAACATAACTACATTTACTTTAAACTAAAAAACATTTTAAAAGATTAAAAACCACAGTTTTTGGTAATACATTTGTATTAAATTATAAAGCCCTATAATTGTAAAAATGTTAATTATTAAATTGTTCTAGTTTTATGAATTCAATTGATTAGACATGCTTTTTGATTATTGAAATGCAATTAAAAGGAAATCCAGAAGAATTAAAACAGAAAACATGGAATTTGGGAAGAAAAAAACAGATTTCATAGGGCCCTAAAAAATTCGATTTTTTGTTGAATTTATAATAAAAAGTTCTTAAACTGTACAGGTTTCATCAATTCAATTATTTCGATAGTTTTTCTTTTTTTAAATTTATCTATTAAAAAAATGTATCCATTAAATCTGATTTAAAAAAAGTAAACGGTGCGGTGAAAAAAGGAATCCAGAAAAATGTTAATGGCAAAAGATAAAACTGATTCATAGGGCCCTAATAAATACACAGCAGTGACCTTTGACCCCTATGACTACAACAGTATCTCAATGATACTAAAATACCACTGGTTCCTACATAATGATCCAAGATTTCCCAGTCCGTTCATCTAGTGCTCACATGCAAACTTCATAGTTTAATAGTGTTTAATTACACTATATTCTACTCCATCCAGACCAATCAAATAATGCATTTATTACACCAAGTGTCCATATAATGGAGGAAGGTGCTGACGTAAAGGCCACATGGACATGATGTAAAATGACTGTTGACTGTCAGATTATTCCTGCAGATACGGAGCAACACATTATATACATTATCAAGAGAGACTGGTTTAGTATGTGATGGCTTACGGCGAACACTTACGCGTGACACACGGGGCATATGATCCGTCCAGACGCCTCTATTGCCTCCAACACTGAGTTTATATACTGCTCTTCATACCGCATGCTGCTGTTATACTCCTCCAGAATCAGGAGCTAACACACAACATTATGTCTCAAATCTCTTTGTGCTTCCACGTACGCAAACGTGCGGCTTCACAATCAATGATATCAACTTATGCATTATGACTGGTCAAGTTTAAATATTTGG